CGCGTCAGGCCCCGGCGTTTAGGGGCATGAGCAGCCGCCGCGGACTCCATACGCCGCCGTCACGGACGCTTGTTTAAACGTGTTTCGCCATTACGTGACTTATTTGCGCAGAGAAGGACGGATCATTATCTTGAATTATTTCGAGGAATTAATTTTTTTAATTTTTTCCAAGCCGATATTCGTTGTCTCTGCACTCGTTTACACATGTATTCTCCATTAAAAGTCGTCCAAAAGCGATGCAGAAAGTTTTTACTCTTAGCGGTGGGAATTTCGGAGCAAAAATGGCCCGGAGTCATACGAATGGACCATTATCTTGAATTTTCTCGAGAAATAAATTTTTATAATTTTTTCCAAGCCAATATTCGTTGTCTCTGCACTCGTTTACACACGTATTCTTCATTAAAAGTCGTCCAAAAGCGATACAGAAAGTTTTTACTCTTAGCGGTGGGAATTTCGAAGCAAAAATGGCCCGGAGTCATATGAACGGACCATTATCTTGAATTTTCTCGAGAAATAAATTTTTATAATTTTTTCCAAGCCAATATTCGTTGTCTCTGCACTCGTTTACACACGTATTCTTCATTAAAAGTCGTCCAAAAGCGATACAGAAAGTTTTTACTCTTAGCGGTGGGAATTTCGGAGCAAAAATGGCCCGGAGTCATACGAATGGACCATTATCTTGAATTTTCTCGAGAAATAAATTTTTATAATTTTTTCCAAGCCAATATTCGTTGTCTCTGCACTCGTTTACACACGTATTCTTCATTAAAAGTCGTCCAAAAGCGATACAGAAAGTTTTTACTCTTAGCGGTGGGAATTTCGAAGCAAAAATGGCCCGGAGTCATATGAATGGACCATTATCTTGAATTTTCTCGAGAAATAAATTTTTATAATTTTTTCCAAGCCAATATTCGTTGTCTCTGCACTCGTTTACACACGTATTCTTCATTAAAAGTCGTCCAAAAGCGATACAGAAAGTTTTTACTCTTAGCGGTGGGAATTTCGGAGCAAAAATGGCCCGGAGTCATACGAATGGACCATTATCTTGAATTTTCTCGAGAAATAAATTTTTATAATTTTTTCCAAGCCAATATTCGTTGTCTCTGCACTCGTTTACACACGTATTCTTCATTAAAAGTCGTCCAAAAGCGATACAGAAAGTTTTTACTCTTAGCGGTGGGAATTTCGGAGCAAAAATAGCCGGAGCCACGCAAACGGCCTATCGCTTTGAATTATCTGGAGAAATAAATTCTTCTAATTCTCCACATCTCCGTTGTTCCGATACTTGTTCGTGCAGCCATTTATAAATAATTAATCAAAATATTTTAGAAACCGCCATTTTCAGCGATTTACGATCGCCGGCTGCTTCCTTCTCCTCCGAATGATCGCTGACTGTTTTGGAAATACTTCCGGAGGGCTTTCTAGTAGGATGCCTTAATTGGGGAAAGCGACATGGCCGAACGGAATGGGCTTAATTACAGTGATTATGATTGACGCGATGCTTTAACTACTTCCGCTGGACGTCCGCGTTTTATTTGTCGTAATCGGTTCGCCAGCGGACGAACGAAAGTCTCCGATTTCGACAGCGCGAGCTGCTTTCGACCGGTGTCCATACGTCGTCGACTCCTTAAAAAATTTGTCACCCACGAAACTCAAGAATTTCGAGATATCGAAACAGATATCCAAAATGCGGATATGGCATAAGTGGAGGATCGGCGCGGGCATAAATCACAGAGCGAGTCGGATTGGATTTTTCATCGGATCGGAATTATTGCAGCTGTTGAACGGCGCGCGTATCGAATTTATAAAGTCGTACAACCGATACTGCACCCAGTTTGATAAATCACGCTGATAGGTACCGCCGTGGCGCAGCCTCCGACACAATTGCATTATTTATTCGTCTCGGATGCGCTCCGGCGCACTGTCCTTCGCCGTGGAATCGTCGTGATCGGATCTTCGGAAACTCCTACATTGCGTGCGCCGTAATAACGCGCATCCGTTTTCCGTGGCAGTTTGATGACTTCCATGGAATCACGATACCGATTTGAGTCATTCGCTCGGATCGTTGCTTTTCTTTTTTTACTATTCGTTGCGCTCTCTGTATGTGCATCGTGAGTCACGTTCGACCAGCGCAGGTGAAAAAATAAGCTAGATTTCAAATGGAGGGAGTGGCGGCGCGTCACGTGATGCCCCACTCCGCCGCACGTCACGGAACGCCCACTCCGCCGCGCGTCACGCGACACCCCACTCCGCCGCGCGTTGCATAACGCCCATTCCGCCGCACGGCGCGAATCAACGAACGCCGCGTCGCGTGACCTACCCCCACTCCTTCCGCTTGGAATCTAGCGTATTTTTCTGGCTACGTTGCACGCGACTTTTCGAACAATTTAAAAAAAATTATAGATCGACGTGGGAACAGTATGCACGCGTCGCGGTAATCTTTTAAAGCGTGATCTAAAGTTCTGGAACAAGTTTGAAAATTTCTTAATTATATTATATTCAGAACAATATTCTAAGTTAACAGTACGACGTGCGAATAGTTTGCACGTGACGCAGTAATTTTTTAAGTAAAATCTAAATATTTAGAACAATTTAAACAATTTATTTTTATACTTCATACTATTTATTTTACATTACTTTATACTGTTTCGTTGTTATTTTATACTATTTCCATAACTTCATTTTATACTTTCGGAAGAATTCTTGAAAATCGCGAAACGGTTGAACGCGGGTCGAACAAAGTAATATAAATGTTTACGCGGCAGCTGGAAAAATGTTGGGCGCTTCCGTAAAAGGGAACGCGGGACGGACCGTAAATATTTTCACGGTGAAGCGAAACCGCCGCAGCGCCGAGCGAATAGAATGCTCGAATGTACTGCCGCCTAGGATCGTACGGTGTTATGGCAGTCACTGCGATATAGTAGAATCGGCGGAGAGATAACGTACGCGGTATAACCGTATCGTTCACCTGCGCCGCGGATTGCTATTTACGAGCTGAATATCTCAGCCACGACAATAAGGAACCGGGATAACGCGTTCTATTTGCACCCGCAGTGCTATCGACAATGCGCATAGTTATAGCGTTCACGAATATAGCCTACTACCGCGTCAAAACCAGCGACCTTCCGTCACGCTTACAATTTTCGAATTGAAATCAACGTTTCCGAAGTTCTATTAACCAGATTACACTACAATTATTTGTTTGATTAATAATGAACTACTTATTGCTGGCAATTAATTATTTTACTAATAATCAATTCTTTACAATAGTTACTGGCAATTAGTCAATTACTTTATTAATAATCAATTCTTTACAGTAATTGCTCGCAATTAGTCAATTATTTTATTAATAATCAATTCTTTACAGTAATTGCTGGCGATTAGTCAATTATTTTATCAATAATCAATTCTTTACAGTAGTTGTGCTGGCGATTAGTGAATCTTTTTATTAATAATCAATTCTTTACAGTAATTGTTGGGAATTAGTCAATTATTTTATTAATAATCAATTCTTTACAATAATTACTGACAATTAATTATTTATTTTATCAATAATCAATTCTTTACCATGGTTGCTGGCAATTAGTCAGTTATTTTGTTAATAATCAATTCTTTACAATAATTACATGCAATCACTTATTTATTTTATTTACAATGAATT